TCCCTGAATTAACTCTAACTGGTGCATTAATCACATGCAAAGCAAACTATAAGCTTGATGAACAACCACAGACAACGTACAGAGAATATAAAGGTCACAGCATTTGACCACTGGATTTACAAAAATAATTTCAGTTTTAAGAAGTGTTTGCTCAATATTTCAACATTGCATCAACTACTGAAGAACACACTCATTTTTAATTTGAATAATTTATTTTACTTGCAGACTTAACATTTGTATGCTTTTGAGCCAAAGTTAGTTAGTGTGCTGCAATAATGGATGCACACGGACAAGACATCTGTCTGAATATAATAATACACTTCTGTATAAGCCATGACTGGAGTAACAAATGAACAATCAAACAAACAAATAAATAAAGTCTGTGAGAATTATGACATTTTGAGTCATAGTCAAACTTTTATGGGATATAATTTGATTTATGTATTTGCTCAGATGGGTTAGGAACCATACATAAATTTAAGAAAACTGGTGCCCTAAAAGCAGTGAATAAATAGTAAGATGATGACTGCATGTTTAAATATGATATTCTGTATCTGAAAGCGTCTGCAATTTAAATCCTGTAATGCCTGGGAGAGAGTATAAAAGTTAGTCCATTCTGCGATTCTATGATTCAAATTCTATGAATTTGGTTAATGTTAGCTAAGAAAAGCTAAGATAACTCGTGTGCATTGTCATTTTAGTAATAGTAGTTAAAGATAAAACACAAGGGATTCACAAAGGATACACCATACTCTAAATAAGTTTCCTTGTTTTCTGCATTTTGCAAAGAATATATATTTTTTCTTTTTCTCTGGAAAGAAGAACTTGCTTTATTAAAATAAAATGGGGAACTGATGTTGTCAATCAGACAAGACTGAAATGAAGACTGAAAAGAATGACTTCTTAAATGAAGAGTTGATTGCTCAGACACATTTGTGTTCAGAATTTACAAAGATCCAATTTGATTCATGCTTTTCTATCCCTGCGTTCAAATTTGAGATGAGACCAGGCAGCTTCAGAAACAGCCGCTTTGACAAATGAGAGCAAATGGACTGGAGTGTGAGAGATGCAGAAACACAGCTGGAGAGAGAAGAGGATGTGGCCTTCAGCTCCCCTCCTGAAAGAGGAAGATGACACTTCTGAGGGTCAACGTGGAGACAAACTGATTCAATGAAGGAAAAGGTGAAACTTTCACTTGAGACTTTTGCTAAAGAATAAAAGAACATCCTGCCATGCAGAATTGCAGGGGTGTTAAATACTTGAAATACTCTACTTAAGTGTTATTTTGGGGGATTTGTGCTTTTTTTCCCCAAGTAGTTTAAGAGAAAAAAAAAACTACTTACAATTGTTTTTCAACTTAAAAAATTACTTATTAGATATTTTTTGGCATTTTTATCCCTCTATAGGAGTAATTGTGAATTACAGCTTAAAAACAATTGACTTTATATTTAACATATATTTAGGTGTAAAATCATTTTTTTTCTTAATCTGACCTTTGACCTTTTTTTAGGGATCCGTGGTTTATAACTGACGTAGTCCCATTAGGGTAAATTATTTGTTCTTGTGCTGCTATATTTGATTTGATTTGGAACTTTTATCCTCCTTGGTCCTCAACAACTTGTTTTATTACTACAAGCTGATTTTCTGATGCACTCATATCACTATCATCAATACTTTCTGAAATAAGTACAGATGTGTCTCTCCATCTTACAAAAATCTTCCAAAAATGAACCTAAAACACATGCATAAAGGCTATTATACTGCCCGTCAATGCTGGTCAATAGTGCCAGCTACACAAAAATATGCATCACATCACAGGACTTTGTCAGTTATGCATGACGCTCAGATTTGTTGGTCTCTGAGTTGTTGTTTTTATAAAAGTGCATTAAAAATGACCAAAAAAAACTTTAGAAAACACATTTGGATGTACAATTATATTTTTTATAACTTGAATTTATATGTATTTTCTAGTCTAAAATGAGCTCACTATGGAGCCTTGAAAGCATTTTACCTAACATGTGCTAATGTCTCCTTTACTACTTAGTTACCAAAAATGTGAAGCACATGGCTAATAAATACAAATTTTACTGGTTGAAGGGGATATCATTTGACAACACTAAAATAAAATTTTGTTGGTTGAACATTAATATCGAATTTTAAATGCAATTGTTCTTAGCGTCATTTATAAATTATTTTATCTTATGCACACAAAATATGGTAAATGGTAGCTCAAACGTGAGCATTTGACATGTGAGAACCAGTGAGGTTTGTTTTCACGCATCAAGCACACGTGTTTCAGACAGTTATAACTTTCATCAGAGAAATCTCTGGCTTCTGACCTTAAATCTGAGGAAGCATATTGAGGTAGCAAAGCTGCTCTCTTTTCTCCCCAAAAGTTTATCCATTATGTTTTTGTTCATTTTCACATTTCTGTTAGCTCTCACATACAGTATATTGACTGAATGCAGATTTGAAGATTGAGTGCAAATAAAATTAGTGATGAGAATTTAAATACTATTAATATTTTAGTGGCCATGATTGCTTTATTTAATTAAATGTTACAAATGTACAAAAATAAATGATGTTTTGTTAAATTAATTGTAAATCTCGTATAGTGATGTTCTTACCAGGTAGTGAATAAGTCGTATTATAATGATATACTGAGTAACATTTAGGATTGTCACTGCATCTGCAGTGCTATTTGAAATGAAAAAGTTAGAAAATACACTTACTGTACAACCTACATAAAATACAATCTAAACAAGCTAATGTTGCAATGTTAACGTTTTCCATGACTTTAATACATTTGAAATGAAAAACAAGTACAAATATAGCAGCAAGCAACAATAACGGGGCCAAGCACTACAGAAGCAAGCATCAGACCAACTGCAGAAATTATTAATTTAAGTAATTTTAGGATGATTTTAGTCAAACGGCTGAAAAATCATAAATACAGCCACTACTAATATGATTTATTGGCTTATCATGTTTGACCAATAGGTGGCGCTGTTATCAAATCGATGTGGTGTGTCCTGTGTGAGTTGACATTGGCACACACAAAGTTTGGTGTCAATATCCCAAAGCATTGCAGAGATACAGCCTGAAGCGTCATTTTGGCATCATGCCTCAAATTCATTGCTGTGGTATGCGAAAACGGTTTTTGGTAAAAATCTGACAAACTGTCTTGGACAAGTTCGAAAAAGTAGATTTTTCGAACTATTCAAAATAGCGAAAAAAAACTAGATCTTACGATTTTTAAATGTTAGTGTCCATTTGACTCGGCATTAGCCAAGGATTCAGAGGATTTATTTATTTTTTTTAAACATAAGTGAAACTTTGGACATGTGGTGCTAGAGAGTTTGAGTTAGAGACACCAAATTTGCTGTGGTTAATGATGAGACTGGCTTCTATCAGTGTGCCAAATTTCACAACTTTCCCGCAAGCGGTTCTATGGGCTGCCATAGACTCAAGAGTGGAAGAAGAAGAAGAAGACAAAGAAGAAAACCAGCAGTTTCAATAGTTTTTCAGTTTCAGTTTTCAGTGCTTGGCCCCTAAAAAAACGAATTAATTAAAAACAAATTATGAAATTATTTTTGTAGTGTACAATACAATATATTAACCGCTCAAGTAATTTAATTTATTTGCAAGTCTTTACAAGAAAGAAGGTAACATTAAATCAAGCAGTCAAGAAAGTTAAACTTTTCTCTTTAGACTTGCAATCATTCTCATGAAAAAGAGTTATGAGCTCAGCAAGGATCTATTTCCACTTTTAATGACCCTCTTTACTGATGTACTTACAGTTTTCATGGAACCAGAATAATCAGCTCTCTGTAAATGAATTACATCAAGATACTCGTTCAGTTTGCATTTGCATTGAATTATTATGATGGATGTTTAGCTTTGTTTAATACGCTGTTGATAAAAGAAAACGATTCCATACAAGAACTGAGGAGACTGACTTCCATTTTCTGTTTTACCAGGAGCTCGTTGTTGTTATTTTTTTAACCAATGGAAATTCACAGAGTGGTCATTTATATCAGAATCAGAATCAGAAGAGCTTTATCTAGGCAGATTTAAAGACTAAAGGTTGTCTGCTGGCTTGGCCTTAGGCCTAGAGTGACTTAAATATAAATCAATTTAGGAAAACGCAGATTACAATGTCAGATATTATATTGTATCGTATATTATTCAATTATTTAAGCCCTAAATTCATACATGCAGTGGGAGTCAATCTTTAGTCAAAGAAATCCACCTCAGTTACAGTAAGCACTAAAGCAGAAAACCCATCTTTGATATTTGACCTTTTCAGGATTTATATTTAAAACATTTTAAAAGTGCACAAGTACCAGTAACATGTTTGTTACCATTGCAAGGACTTGAATGGAGTCATCCAACTTCTTCAGACTCGTGAACTTTGAACTCACAGGAAACAGCAACACACACTGTCAAGTGGTTCCACCATTTACAAAGTTTCAATGTGCAGAACTCTCCCACTTGATAAGACAGCCCACTACAATAATTCCACCGGACTCCACTCATTGACCATACTTGCTTTCTTTTATTTTTCAGATTTGTTTTGATGCAGTGATCAATCAGCCAGTCATTAGTCAAGCAGTCATTAGCCAAGCAGGTGAAAAACCTTTAGACAAATACAAACACCATTGTAAGAGCACGAACAAATAGAATCAAAAATACCAAGCAAAACTTGCATACAAAAATGTTCTTTTTTAAATTAACAAAGAATGTCATACAAGTAGACAACAAATATTTAACCGTTTATATACTTTTACATACCAAACACTACTTTTTAAATAAATGATTTTAAACATCCTTTTTGCAACTTTTAAAATTTAAATATACTCCCTATATAGAAAACCAGACCTAATTCACAAACCAAACTAATACAAAACTAATGATATTCAAATACAACATGATTGAAAAAACAACCCAAGTACAAAATATTAAGCTCACCGGCTGCTTCTTCAGTCTGTTGTAGTAGCTTATGGGGGCTCGTCCGGGATTTGAACCCGGGACCTCTCGCAACCGAAGCGAGAATCATACCCCTAGATGGGGTATGACTGGCAGTGGAAACTCTACATAAAGTCTGTTCTACCCTACTAATTAATAGATTAACTTAACTACCTTCACCTTGTGTTCTCTCACTAGTGAATTCTAGTGCACTCTGGCTTGTGCACTCTAGTTAGGAAGGGGCGGAGTAAGAGCAACCAACAGTTTGCCACAACACACACAATGAATTAACACACAAGCATTTCTTCACCTAGATAAAACATATACAAATGTATGATGTTTGCAGTGAAATGATTTTCACATTTATGTTTGGGATCATCCTCACAGATGCAGTGTAAATTGTGATAAAGAATTGAAAGTTATGGATATTTTGCCTGTATATGCTTGCTGTGATCGTTCATGCAAATGTTTCCCAATAGGGTGTGAACTGCTAAATAGGATCCTATTTTAAAATACTATACTATTTCTGTCGCCCTACACCAACCCTACACCTAAACCTACCCCTTACAGAAAACTACTTGAATTTCATAAAACACCATTTTGTATGTATTTTAAGCCTTTTGTTTTACAGGGACACAGTCATAAACCATGTTTACGTTGTAGTACCCATGTCATTATACACATTTGTGTCCTCATAATCCACACACACACACACCAAGAAAAACTGTTTATAAAAAATAAAAAGTATTATTAAAGTACAGTTATATAATAAAATCTCATAAACACAGCAGTTGTTCTGTTGCTTGTCTTTATTAAAGGCCCAAACACCAAGGATTGTGAAAAAGTTGTGAAATTTGGTACCTATAACTTAGATCATCACCAGGCACTTTCTGACCACGGTTTTCAATGTAACCCTTCAGCTACTTGATTTTATTATTATTATTATTAATCAGTTCATGCATTTGTAAGAACATACGACTCATTTTTTAATCTGATTCATGTTTATTAAAGACATATTTTACATGAAAACAGTGAAATACAAACAAACAAAATATATCAAATAATTTGTAAATTATGCTCATTGTGTCATGATTATACAAGGATGCTTAAGAATACAGTCAAGTAATACAATAACAACGATTTTCAAAAGTATACTAGTTTGACAGTAATCTGAAGTAAGAGGAAAATTGCATCTCCAGTTTATATAAAAAAATGAGAGTACAATATTAATTTGGAATACTTCAGATTAAGGTTTAACTATTTGTATATCCATAAATAAAAAAGCACACTATCCATAAACAAACCTGCAACTCTGTATTAGTTGTGTGTGAAATCTGAGTATAAAGGTTTTCACAAACAAATCATGATTCGTTATTTAAAAAAACAATTATTATAAACATTAACATCTTTAGAGAGCTTTAAAAAATGTAGTTATATATTAGGGAGATGGTTTGGATGTGTTTTAAGTAAATGACTAAACTCTGGAATATGCTCACTCATCCAATACTCAAAATTAATTAACATTAGAATGAAATTAAGAAAAAGAATACCCATGTATGTATGCATTTACTACTAGTCTTGTTCTGTCTACATTGCATGACATTTGCACGTTGTCAGAGGAGTCACTGACAAAATCCCTGAACTTTTGGATTACTCTCAGTACCCTTCTCAGTGCATTCAGTGACTCAAAAAGTGGTGTCACATCTGTAAAGTTCTGCTGAATTCTTTGAATATTCTCACGGAGTGATTTTTGTTTGACTGCATTGGTAACACTGGACGCAGCACCTGTTACACCACCTGCAACACCAACTCCAATCCCAACACCTGTAACAATCAGAGATGCTCCAAAAGTGAAAGGAGCTAAAATCGCACCAACCACTGCAGTGATTCCTCCTGCTGCTCCAATCACTGAACCTGCCAGAGAACCTGCTGTGCATTTACGATGAACCTCCTCTAGTGAAGCTGTTGTTTCTCCCCACTCTGTAACTAAGGCCACAAAATTATCGTAGTGCTCATTGTAGTTCTCATCAAAGATCCTTATGGACATCATGAACCTTCGTTCCAGTTTTTCTGGAATCCTCTTGTTTCTGTTTACAGCAACTCTTAGGAATGGTTTTGCTAAAATCTCATCAGCTGAAGGTCTGGTCATAGGGCAACAGCTGAGCATTTCTTTGATTAAATTCTGTAGATCCTGTGAATACATATCTGAGAAGTGAAGGGGGTATTCCATATCGTGGGAGGCTTTTTGAAGGCGACGTTTTTTTAATATCTGACTGTGAAGGAAAATAAAGAAAAAAAAACAATATAAGGAAAATCTGGTTGACCCTGAGATCCAAGATCATAAAACACTTTGAAGGTGCTATATACACTTTTTACCTTTTTTTTGTATTTGTATTGTTTAATGATATTCCTATCAGTCAAGTCACATTTTCCGTTGCATTTTTTGGCAGTTGGGACAGCTGGACATGTTTGATATTGTATTTCATGTTGTTATTGAATGCTATTGTATAATTGAATATTATTAAATATTATTAACAAACAATAAAACATTTATTTAATAATATTCCAAAGCACACGTTTGTTTCCGTCAAAGATGCAGTGCTGCTGTGCGATGTGAATATGGCATTAAGCAATATAAGTTGTATCGCAATTTAAATTTCATTTTGATGCATTATGCAACCCTACACTGGATCTGTGTGACGGTAAAACAAACAGCAGTTGAAAGGGTTTTGTTATGCATCTACCATCAATCTACCAAATACTTTGTCAAGCATTAAGATTTGAAAAAAAAATTATAATAATAATGTAATTCTTGGTTTGTAAATTATATAGCTAATTGAAATGAACCCATTAGTACTATTTTTGTAATTTTCATTGTTTAATAGAGTGCACTCACCCACACATCCAGCATGCAGAGATCATAGAGCACCCACCCCAGTGAACAGATATCACTACAAAAAAAATTTAAAAAATAAACCACATTACGTGAGGGCTAGATTTAAGTGCATTGTTTAAACAGCTAAAGTAGTCAGCATTTCATGTAAAGAGTTTGCAATAAATTTCAATATTTAAACTTAAAAAAATCATACCTTTTGGAAGTATATTTGTTTTGTTCAACTTCTGGGCTGTGATAGAGCTCTGCACCTCTAACTGAGCTTGTATAAGGATCTGCTCTGAAATAGAAAAATCAATGTAAACTCAAACTGATAAAACTTCAAAAAGATCTTATTAGGGATGAACTGAAACATCAGCTGGAAGAGAAACAGGCAGAAATACTTGGCAAATAATTTGAGAGCCAGTCACTTATTAGGGGCCAAACACCACAGGTGCAAATGCACTTCTTGTATCCATTAGTTTTCTTCTTCTTCTACTCCTGAGTCTATGGGAGCCCATATAACTGCTTATGGGAAAACTATACAATTTGGCATGAAAATGGAAGATACACTCTAAAAAATGCTGGGTTGTTTCAACCCAATTTTGGGTCAAATATGGACTATCCCAACTGTTGGGTTAAAAAGTTAATTTAAAAATGTATCCAAAATTTAACCCAACAGCATTTTTTAGAGTGTAGTTTCAACATTAACATTTGGCGTCTCTAACTCAAACCATCTAGCGCCACCAAAAGCTCAACATTTTATTCATGTTTATGCTAATAACTTTTGAAGGTAAATTATATAAAAGCAATTTTTGATTACATGGCTCATGATGAGTCGAAAGCATAACAAAATTACTTTTCATCCTAGACAGTTTGTCTGATTTTCACAGTTGGCTCAGATCATCTTCAGACTATGCTGGAAAAAAGTTATGGAATTCAAGTTAATTAGTCAAACTATCCCAACTGTTGGGTTAAAAAGTTAATTTAAAAATGTATCCAAAATTTAACCCAACAGCATTTTTTAGAGTGTAGTTTCAACATTAACATTTGGCGTCTCTAACTCAAACCATCTAGCGCCACCAAAAGCTCAACATTTTATTCATGTTTATGCTAATAACTTTTGAAGGTAAATTATATAAAAGCAATTTTTGATTACATGGCTCATGATGAGTCGAAAGCATAACAAAATTACTTTTCATCTTAGACATTTTCACAGTTGGCTCAGATCATCTTCAGACTATGCTGGAAAAAAGTTATGGAATTCAAGTTAATTAGTCAAACCATTCTTGAAAGACACGCAAAGGAATTTGATGAAGAGCACACACACAAATAAAATGGACGTGAGGCTATATCTCCGCAATGCTTTAACATATTTAAACCAAACTTCTTGTGTGCCATAAAATGACATGACCTAAGGATATCCACTGGTCATGAGATATTAAATACAGATATTTTACATATATATATATATATAACATATGAACGGTTTGGCCAAAAAATACAAGACTGGTCTCTTTAGATTTGGTGCAACATTTCAAGTCAAACGAAATTCCAATTGTTTCCATGTCTGCCATTTTGGGCGTCAGTCATTTTGAATTTTGCTGTAACATGCTATATTTTAAAGTTTTGGGGCAGAAAATATAATGATATTTTAAAAATAAATGCTAATAACTTTTGATTGGTTTTGCCTATTGTCATGTGACTGGTCTTGGTAGATTCCTTGGATCATGCAGAGAACATCAACACCAATTATGCAGTAATTGGCTGAACTTCCTGTCCACCATTTTGGTTTTCTTTATAAAACCTAATTTTTTTAACTACTCCTAGACCATTGGTCTGATTTTCACCAAATTTGATTCAAATTATTTTCAGACCATGATGGCAAAAAGTTATGGATTTTGTGACAATAGACAAATCGGTTTTGATTTACCGCCTGAGGAATATCATATCAATGGTATATCACTATCACTATCATAAAGTGATATACCATTAAATCATGTTACTAGTTATTGTATTTATGATTTTCAGCCTTTTTGAATAAAATGATCTTAAAATGTGTTTAATTACTCATTGCTGCAGTTAGTCTGATGTTCCCTGTCATGCTTAGCTCCTTCCTTTGCCTCCGTTGTGCTTGGCCCCTTAATTGCTACTTGCAGCTATATTATATCTATAATTATCACATACATACTTTATGAAATCTAATAATAACAATTGGTTATTACAAACACAATTACATTAGATTTTTCAATGTATTTTTAGTCCAGTGTGTCCAGATTTGTAATGTCCAAGAATGTCAATGTCTGTTTAATGTCTGACTATTAGTTTTTTTTTTGTTTTTTTTTACCTTTTCTGCACTTTTGAGTATCCGAAATCCCCTAGATTGATGTAGCCATCTTTAGTCAGAAAAATATTCTACAATGACAACAGAAATATCATCAAATACACACATTTGATTTGGTGACAAATGGTTTAATGAACTTTAGGGCTGTGCAAAAATGATTTTCATGCGCATTTTCATGCGCATCTCATCAGTAAAGCCGGTTCTGTGATTAGTAGTAAATCTCCAGCACGTGCTTTCAGATGGAGTGGCATTTAATACACAGAGCCATAGTTCACTGACAAGCTACGCAAAATTTTGCGTAGCTTGTCACTGATCTACGGCTCTGTGTAGTAAATGCCGCTCCATCTGAAAGCACGTGCTGGAGATTTACTACTAATCACAGAACCGGCTTTACTGACGAGATGCACATGAAAATCACATTCAATTTTTTGCACAGCTCTAATGAGCTTTATCAGTGTCTACCTGAGGTTTGATATCTCTGTGAGGCGTCAGTCATTTTGAATTTTGCTGTAACATGCTATATTTTAAAGTTTTGGGGCAGAAAATATAATGATATTTTAAAAATAAATGCTAATAACTTTTGATTGGTTTTGCCTATTGTCATGTGACTAGTCTTGGTAGATTCCTTGGATCATGCAGAGAACATCAACACCAGTTATGCAGTAATTGGCTGAACTTCCTGTCCACCATTTTGGTTTTCTTTATAAAACCTAATTTTTTGAACTCCTCCTAGACCATTGGTCTGATTTTCACCATATTTGATTCAAATTATTTTCAGACCATGCTGGCAAAAAGTTATGGATTTTGTGACAATAGACAAATCGGTTTTGATTTACCGCCTGAGGAATATCATATCAATGGTATATCACTATCACTATCATAAAGTGATATACCATTAAATCATGTTACTAGTTATTGTATTTATGATTTTCAGCCTTTTTGAATAAAATGATCTTAAAATGTGTTTAATTACTCATTGCTGCAGTTAGTCTGATGTTCCCTGTCATGCTTAGCTCCTTCCTTTGCCTCCGTTGTGCTTGGCCCCTTAATTGCTACTTGCAGCTATATTATATCTATAATTATCACATACATACTTTATGAAATCTAATAATAACAATTGGTTATTACAAACACAATTAAATTAGATTTTTCAATGTATTTTTAGTCCAGTGTGTCCAGATTTGTAATGTCCAAGAATGTCAATGTCTGTTTAATGTCCGACTATTAGTTTTTTTTTTGTTTTTTTTTACCTTTTCTGCACTTTTGAGTATCCGAAATCCCCTAGATTGATGTAGCCATCTTCAGTCAGAAAAATATTCTACAATGACAACAGAAATATCATCAAATACACACATTTGATTTGGTGACAAATGGTTTAATGAACTTTAGGGCTGTGCAAAAATGATTTTCATGCGCATTTTCATGCGCATCTCATCAGTAAAGCCGGTTCTGTGATTAGTAGTAAATCTCCAGCACGTGCTTTCAGATGGAGTGGCATTTAATACACAGAGCCATAGTTCACTGACAAGCTACGCAAAATTTTGCGTAGCTTGTCACTGATCTACGGCTCTGTGTAGTAAATGCCGCTCCATCTGAAAGCACGTGCTGGAGATTTACTACTAATCACAGAACCGGCTTTACTGAATTACTGCACATGAAAATCACATTCAATTTTTTGCACAGCTCTAATGAGCTTTATCAGTGTCTACCTGAGGTTTGATATCTCTGTGAAGAACATTCCTCCTCTCATCATGAATATACTGTAGCGCCAGACAAATCTGAACACACCAGTCAAGAATCTGCACACATTTGATACACATGGAGAAAGATGAAAGCATCAATTTATACTCCTAAAAAGATGCATCTTTAAGTCAAGTCACCTTTATTTATATAGCGCTTTTAACAATACAGATTGTGTCAAAGCAACTGAACAGCAGTTGCTTTGCAAAGATTTGTATCGTGAAAAGCGCTGTACAAATAATAATAAAAAAAAGTTGAACGTGAATGACGTGAAACAAAACGTGAAACAGGGGCCTGTTCAGCTTCCTGGGGTGTTACAGAGTATTTGTTAAATCTAGCTAACAAAAGAAAATGTATTGTGTGTTTGAGTGGTCCAGACGCTACACAGGAGTTGTTTATTTGAAAATGTCAGGAATTACTGTTGCAAGCTGTTTGCGCAATGATCTGTTCTGAAAAAAAAATCGCTCCAAACTTTTCTTAAAGGGGTCATATGATGCTGCTAAAAAGAACTTTATTTTGTGTATTT